GCGGGGAGCAGCTCTGCACCGTGGGGTGATGCTGGGGCAAGCAGCACTGAGAGGGGCCAGCGCAGAACCGGGTGGCCCTGGGAGGGTCCTGCCAGCCCAGGGCTGCTCCAGCATCCTCGAGCCGGCCAGGCAGCCGAGGGCGAAGGTTCGGGGGTGGCTCACAGGGTCCTGGCATCCCCAGGCAGCTCGAGCTGCCCCGGCTGTGACAAGCCAGAGGGGCCGCGGTCTGGGGGGCAGGCAGCCAGGCAGGTGTTTGGGCAGATGGTACTCAGGCAGGCAGGGGAGGGATAGGCAGAGGTGTTGCTTTTCTTCTGTCAACACTTCCTCATACATCGGGTGAAGCAAGCGATGCGCTTGGCTGGCCGTGAGCCAGGGTGGCATCTTCCAGCGCCCTGGAGCTCTGACCGGCCAGGAGGAGCGTGCAGGATCAGGCCTCCCTGGCACCGCAGAGCACCAGGCACTGCTGTTTGGAGAAGGGGCTGTTGCAGGGCAGCAGGGTCTCAGGGAGTGGGCACGGGAGCTCCCTCTGCTCCCTCCTGCCCTTGGGGCCCCGAGTGTGGCCCGGCTTTGCAGATAGATGCCTGCATGCTCTGGAGGTGGATTTCCCCAGATCCCAGCAGCTCTGGCTTCTCTCGGCCCTGCTCTCCCAGGCCTGCGCCGTGCCGGGTCCCAGCTGCCAGCAGATGCCGGTGGGCAGGCTTCAGCCCAGGCCACAGCTGCCCACGGCCCCACGCAGCGTGTTCACCTGGCAAGCCGCCTGCGGCACCGGGGCGGCTGTCCCTCCCCCTCCTCCTGCCACCACACGCGAGGAACGTCTCCCCGCGGTGACGAATCCAGCTGAATCCGGGCGCAGGCTGCGATGCAGTCAGTCACCAAGGGAGATTGTACCACGTGCATCCCCGCAGCCGCGGGGAACGGGGACCAGGGCTTCTCTGCTAGGTCCCCCGCAGCCCCCCGGGCTTGGCCCCACTCCACAGGGGCTCTGGCAGTGCCTGGGTGGGATGGAAAGCACCCCTTGGATGTGGCCCTGTGCAGATCCACTTGCAAAGGGGTGCCCGGCTGCCCCCGAGGGATGCGCTCGCAGGTCACAGTGCTCCCCGGCAGGGAGGCAGGCATGGCACCCTTGGGTGCGGCTGAGAGGGGACCTCAGGAGAGGTCACTCAGGAGAGGTGACCAGCAGAGCCCAGAGCAGAGCTGATGCTGGTGGATGTCCCCTGGCTGGCTTGTGAGCCTGTGGCCCCAGGGCCATGCCCCGGGGGTGGCAGCCTGCCCTGGGAGCAGCCCAGTCCGGCCCCAGCCTGGCGCTGCCCTCCCAGCGCTGATCATTAACCACCCTTATCGGATGGCGGGTTCAAGGACCCACGCGGGGACTGTTGTCCCCAGGTTGAGCAGAGCATGGCTGGGACCATGCTGGAAGCAGCGGGGCTTGGACCTGCTGACAGCCACTGCAATGGCCCTGCATCTCGGCAGAGCCCTGTGCTTGGCAGTTTTCCCTGTCCCTGCTGTCCCCTCTTGGTCTTGCCTCCCCAAAAGACCCACCACGCCCTCCGTGCATCTCTGGGGTGGGTGAGGGATGTTCCAGCCTGTGCCGGGGGTCAGTGCCTGCTGTGCTTAGTGCTGGCAGAGGACATGTACCTGGAGACACCAGCCCAAGCCATCTGCAGGGTGCTTCAAGGATGGTGCCAGCTTGGGGGGGTCAGAGGTGGGTGCTTGGGCCCAGCTGGTGCTGAGGGGTCCCTGGGATGGGTGCAGACCATGCTGGACATGTGCAGAGCAGGATCAGGACAGGGAGGGACTGATCTAGCCCCAGTGCTGCCCCTGTCCTATTCACCCTGCCGTGCTCTGGTGCATCACAGCTGATGTCCCGGCGCATTTATGGTCCCATCTGGAAGTCGACCTTCGGGCATTACGAGAACATCAACATCGGGAGCCCAGTGGTGCTGGAGCAGCTGCTACGGCAGGAGGGCAAGTACCCCATGCGGAGCGACATGGCCCTGTGGAAGGAGCACCGGGACACCCGTCGCCTGCCCTACGGACCCTTCACCGAGTGAGTCCTGCCCTGGCTGCACTCTGCAGGACGGCAGGCGTCTCCTGTCCCTTCCTCGGGTGTAGGGTCCGGGTGGCAGCTGGCATTGCCCCCTCTCCTGCAAACAGTGTGTCCCCCCCAAGCAGAAGGGCATGGCCATGGGGGGAGGAAAGACACCCAGGGTGGTTCCAGCCCAGTGCTGGGAGGACGCTCCCAGGGATTGGGAAGTTGCTGCCAGCCACTGCCCCTTGCCAGTCCATGTCCCCAGCGCTGAGCCCTGTCCCCGTGCAGGGAAGGGGAGCGCTGGTACCGCCTGCGCCAGGTCCTCAACAAGCGGCTACTGAAGCCCTCGGAGGCGGTGCTGTATGCGGATGCCATCGGGGAGGTGGTGTCAGACCTGATGGTGCGGCTAAGGGATGAGCGGAGCCGCAGCCCCTCGGGGGTGCTGGTGGGGGATGTGGCCAACCTGCTTTACCGCTTCGCCCTGGAAGGTAGGGTGTCCTCCCCCTCACCCTTGCCCTGCCCTGCTCTTCCCATCCTTGCGGGGGTCTGGATGTGGCCTGTTCCCCCCAGGGATCTCCTATATCCTCTTCGAGACCCGCATCGGGTGCCTGAAGCAGCAGGTCCCTGCCGACACCCGGCGCTTCATCGATTCCATCAACCTCATGTTCAAGAACTCCATCTTTGCCACCGTCCTGCCTCGATGGAGCCGCAAGGTGCTGCCCTTCTGGGACCGCTACCTGGACAGCTGGGACACCATCTTTGCCTTCGGTGAGTGGTGATGATGGGGGCCCAGCACAGTGGGGTCGGACCCCCTAAGGACCCTCAAAAGTGGGGCAGTCCCCGTCCACATGTCCTTTTAGCCGCCCTCACTCCATCAGCGCCGGGTCCTGCTTTCTGTCCCCACAGGCAAGACCCTAATTGACCGAAAGATGAAGGAGCTGGAGGGGCAGGTGGAGCGGGGCAAGGAGGTGTCCGGCTATCTGAGCTACCTGCTGGCCAGCGGCAGGCTCAGCCTGGATGAGGTCTACGGCAGCGTGGCCGAGCTGCTGCTGGCTGGCACGGTGAGAGCCGGGCAGCTGCTGCCAGGGGATCCCTGCTGAGCTCCGTGCCGGGGGGGGGAGCCATGGGGCCACGCTCAGCTGCGCTCCCCAGCCCCTGCGAGCTCTGGGCCGGTGGCTGGGGGGCTGATGCCCCACAGGGGCAAACCCTCAGGGATCGGTCAGTATAGACCCTGTCCTCTGCTCTGCTGCCTGCCTCAGTTTCCCCCGTGCTCGCTGCCCCTCACCCTGGTTTCCCTGTGCACTGGACCAGGGGCTGTCTGGTACCATACTGGTGCCATGCTTGGCACAAGGCTGCTTGGGTACCGGCCCTCCCCCTCACTCCCCTCTGTGCTCCCCTCCCCCAGACCTCCAACACGCTCTCCTGGGCCCTGTACCACCTCTCCCGGGACCCGGGCATCCAGGAGACCCTGTACCAGGAGCTGAAAGCTGTCGTGCCCACCGACCGGTTTCCTGGTGCTGAGGATATCCCCAAGATGCCAATGCTTCGGGCTGTTATCAAGGAAACGCTGAGGTACAGCCCAGCCTTGCCCCTGCCCCAGGGTCCCTGTCAATGGCCCCTTCCCCAGGGCTGGGGGCAGCCCCTTCTCCCCCCCACATTGGGGGATGCACCAGCTGGGGTGGCTGGTGATGGGGGATATGGAGGCACGGGCCAGGCAGGGTGCAGGGCTGGATTTCAGTCCCTCAGGGCTGCATCCATCCACCCCCTCCCTGGGGAGGGAGGGGGACGGAGCTGCTGAGCAGCGGGAGATACTCCCCCTTGTCCTGCCTGTGGCTCTCTCCCTCTGGGGTCCCCAGATGGGTCCTGCTCCCCCTCAAACTCTCCCCATATCCCAGGGTCTACCCCGTGGTGCCCACCAACGCCAGAGTCTTCTATGAGAAGGACATTGTCATTGGAGACTACCTCTTCCCCAAGAACGTGAGTGGGGGCCGTGCCGTGGGGACCCCCGCTGTGCTCGGTGGGGCCGGGTGGCGGTTGTTAAGTCCCCCCTTCTTGCCCCGCAGACCCTCTTTGTCCTAGCGCACTACGCGATGTCCCACGACG